ACATCACTCTCCCCCCATTTCCCCTTATTATTACTTACTCTCGTATTATCACTCTCCCACCTTATCTTTCCTTATTTTCCCTACCTATCTATTATACTACTTACTTATACTCGTCTTATTACTTACCTTATCTTTACTCATATTAGCTTATTACTTACCCTTACTTACTTAGTTATAGTCACTATTATTTATATTACTTACTTATTACGTATTATTATCTCTCACCTTATACTCCCCTTACTCTATCCTCTTCTTCACCTTCCTTATTTTACTTACCCATACTTACTTCCTCACTTACTTAGCCAATTAATTAATTCATTTACCCTATTTTATTATCACCTATCATCACTTCCCTACTCTTTCTTATTTAACTCCCTTATCTTTATTTATTTATATTTCTTATTATCTCCCTTACTTATACCTACTAACCCACCCCTTCATTCCTTACCCTACTGTCTGTCTTTCTATATTTCTCTCTTCCTTACTCTACCCTCTTATCACTTCCTTACCTTATCATTACTTATTACCATATCTCTCTCACCTTATGTTCCCACTTATCTATTACACTTACTTAGTCATGCTCGTCTTATTACTTATATCACTTACTTACACCTTACTACTTATTATTGCCTAGCTATTACTTATTATTCATATCACTTACTTATTATTGCTTTATTCTCCAATACTACCCCTTCTTACCTTATACCCACTTATTACTTACCTTCACTTCTATCATCTTCATTACCTACCTTACTTATTAGTCTCCTATCTTACCCTTCTTATCTCTATCTCCCCCTATCTAGCTTCTATTACTTATCATCCCTTATGTACTACCTATATTCCTAACCAGCTGCTATTAATCTGTCTTTCAATATTAATTCCTACCTTATATTACTTATACTACCTTATTCATAGTCTCTTACTTCCTATTAATTACATATCTCTGCCTATATTTCTTGCCCTACTCTCTCTTTATTCCTTACTCTCTTTTACTCTCTTACCTTATCTTCCCTTACTTATACTTAGTCCTTAATTATTGTATTTATATACTCCCTATCTTTACTTCCCTTACCATTTCTTACTTCCCTACTAATTTCTCACCTTATTTTATTATCACTTATTATCTCCCTTACTCTTTCTTACTAATCCCCTTATTATACCTACTTATTAACCACCCCTTCATGCCTTACCTTACGTCTGTCTTTCCATATTTCTCTTTTCCTTATTATTCCCTACCCCTGTCACTACTCATATCACCTTATTATCTCTTACTCCCTATCTTTACTTATTCCCTCCCCTTACCATCTCTTATACTTACCTATTATTCTTATTTAATCTTATTTAATCTCTTACCGTATCATCTCTTCCTACTTCTTTCCTCACCATATACCCACCCCTTCTTATCACCACCTTATTCCTCCCCGACCTCGCTTCTGTCTTTCCTTTCTCACTCTCCTTACTTATCACC